CTTTGTCAACAAGGAGCACTTCCTCATAATCATCCAACTGTTGCAGTTATTTATAATAATCTTGGTCTTATATTCGATAAACTTGGAAATAGATCTAAAGCTATGGAAAATTTTGAAATAGCACTTGAAATTAGAAAAAAATGTTTAGCATCATCAGACCATCGAGCATTCTCGTCTTCATATATTAATATTGGTACATGCTATTTAGATGATGGTAATTATGCCAAAGCAAAAGAATATTTGGATCTAGCATGGGAACTTGACTCTAAATATCTACCAGTTAATCATCCAGAATTTGCTACAACTTGTAATAATTTTGGTTTATTATATGAACAACAACATGATTATACATTGGCATTTGAATATTATCAAAAATCAGTAGATATTTTGACTAAAACATCATCACTACCTCCTCAACATCCACTTATAGCCGTTGCAAATAAAAATTTGGCGAGAGCTTATAGACATCAAAAGAACGTGCAATGGAACAAATTAGCATTGCTCTTGATATTGAACATTCATTAAATCCAATGAATCTTTCAACATTATCCGATACACTCTATGAATTTGGTTGCATAAAACTTGAAATGAATGATTATGATACTGCACTGAAATCATTTCAACAAGCACTTGACCTAAGCCATAAATGTTATGATTCGAAAAAACATCGAAAAATATCTAAGATTAATAAGGAAATTGGCATTACATTAATAAACTGTGGTCAATTTGAAGAAGCGTTAAAATATTATCAACAAGCATTGCAAATCGAATTAGACGTTTTACCAAAAGATCATTTCGAAATTGGTCGAACATATAATAATATTGGCGCTGTATTATCAAAATTAAAAAAAAACTCTCAGGCACTCATTAATTGTCAACAAGGTATGGCTATATGTTTGAAAACATTGAATGCAAATGATAAATTAGTTATTGAAATTCAAAATAATATTCAAATTATAGAAGAAGACTTGGTGAGTGTCTGTTAGAAAATCTCTTCTGTACATTTGATTCCTTGACGTTGAGAGAGGCTAAGAAAACAGCTCAATCACGTTCACAACTACAAGAAAACGATTTCACCATGGAAGTATTGCAGCGTTTTGTACTTTCAAATCTATCATGCATCTATCTCACAGAGGAGGGAAAATTTGGGGAAAGTAAAAAATGTTCAAAAGAAGAAAAATCGAACGATAATTAGTAGCCGAGAATGGATCGCACAGTAGGCAATTCCACTAGCCACATGGACATGTGCCATAAAAAAGAGACAAAAGCCTTTAAATACTATTTTTATAGGTTTTCGTATGCATTCTTCACAATGGTGGGATTCACAAAGTTCAAAAGCACTTTTAGTCGTGTTTTCCACAGACTGGATCTTTAGGAAACCCTAATAAAAACATTTTGTACTTATAAACCACCTCATTGGAAAGAGTGCACACGAAATCCTATAAAAATAGTGTTTAGAGGCTTTTGTATCACTTTTATGGCAAATGTTCACTGACCTAGCCAAAATTCCTACGGGAATCGTGCAAATCTGTCACTTCGTTAAATCGAACGGTTTTCTGCGCATAAAAATGTACAACTGACAAATCATTTGACGCACTTTTTTACTCTAAGTCCGGCTATGTATAGATTGTTGCGATAAAAGCGTTTCCGAGCTGAGAAAAATGCATATCGACTAGAGAATCTAGGGATTTTGGAAAAACTGTTACTCTGACCTAAAGATTTTGTGTATCTTTGAGCTAATCAAATACACGTATCAGATATAGAAGAACATTCTGTGAAAGTTTCGCTCGGTTCTGAGCCCGGAAAATGTTGGACATCTCGTTACTAAAGACAATGTTTAAGAAAACACTTAACGAAGACAGAATAATTATTGATTGAGACAAAAAAGTCGTATACGAATCGATAGAGGAAGAGTTCCTGATATGTGTACTTTCTTTACTCGCTCTTTTTCCTTTTCTTTGTCCACTGCGGTTCGCCACGAAATACGAGCGATAAGGAAAACAGTCGCTACGAAAATTAGTCAAAACATTTGTAATAAAAGAACAAGTTTTAAACAAAAGACTCTCATTGAGAAAAATAAGTTACACAGATACAAAAGAAAAGAACTAGCAGAAGTTACTCTGAAAGAATCTGCAGATTACTTCAAACGAGCATGTATTTCTCTGAAGCACCGAAATTATAAGTGGCAATAATTTCTTTTTAATATTACACTTATTAGACGAACACGTTATTACGAGAATATATAAGCTCTTTCAGCAGAGTTGACTATAATTTTCTTCGAAAATCTCTACATTTACACCCAGTACGACGGAAAAGAATGAACCTTTATTACTATGTAAAGGCTGTACTTACACCATCGATAAAACAAGTAATGCTAAACCGTAGCGAAGTAACAAAAATATTTTTTAAGGGAAAGGGCATGTTCAACTTCTTGTCGATATTCTCTGTCGTTCCAGCATATGAATCGTGATATGAAACAGTCGCCTTTCCCTAGTATGAGTAAAGCTCTAGACTAAAACTCCCTTTTTCGATAGACTTTTAAGCTTTTTCTAAAAGCAAATATTGCCACGAGACTCAGCATGATCGATTATCTATAGTCCATTGGCTTTCAAGGCTACGAAGAGTCACCAGGTGCCGGTCCTGGGACTCGTAGGAAATCTAGTACAACGCCAGAGTCGTAGAAAGTCTAGGTCTCGCTTGACTCCCATTTTTTAGAGCACACTTGTAGCTACATACCCACATAAGAAAGCGTCTATATTTCTATGAGACTTTCGGGAGTTCTGATCTGGTTTTCCGAGGATCTCCTCAAAAACCAACTTCAAAATTTTTTCTGAACCTCGCTTGCCCTTATAGAAACACGAGCTCAGGGTTCTAGTTTCTAAAACTGGAAATCACACCTCTCTATCTATTACCTATCAAAAGTTATTCAAAAAGCAACCGATGCTATTGTATTTTGGAACGGATAGTAGTAAAGTGTCACCTACATAAAACATAGTGGGTATTTTTCGCATAGCACGTGAACATGTGTCAAAAATTGTCCGTTACATATAAAAAGTCACGTCATACGTACAAATCCGCGAAAAGTGGAAAGCCATACGCGGTTCAATATCATGTTTACTAATGACATACGTCGATCTGATTGAAAATACAGAAAAACATTTTTGAATTAAACACTAGAGCCCTGAGCTCGTGTTTCTATAAGCGGAAGCGAGTTTTGGAGAAAGTTTTCAAGTTGGTTTTTGAGGAGATTCTTGGAAAACCAGATCAGAACTCCCGAAAGTCTCATAGAAATGTAGTCGTTTTTTTTACATGGGTATGTAGCTACAAGTGCATATCAATGCAAAAACTTAGAGCACACGTTGCTTTCTGGAAAATTTTGAAATATATGTTACAATGGAAATTAAAGTTCAATGGAATTTAAAACTAGCGGAAATTAAATTTCAATTTTCATTGGATTCTTGTTAGTGAAAATTCAGATTGCAAGTTCAACTAGTGGAGAATGAAATTTTAATCTCCATTACAGCTGGATTTTAAATTCTATCAGGCAAAAATGACTAACACTAATCTTTCACTCTTCACTACGGTGGAAATTAAAATCTGATTCAAATGACGCTAATGTGAAGGAATGCAATTTTTTATTGAGAATATCATTAGGCAACAAAACAATTACACGAATATTGTTTTAACGACACTAGGCATTTGAACTCGTCGAACGGTCTCGTTTAGCATTGTACGTTTCCGTAATTGTATTTCCGCCTGCACTAGCGCTATCAAAGTAATTTGATTTTGGAGGCTAATTTGATTAAAATATAAGGGCTTCTACTTTTCTGGATTTAAAGTAAATGTGGACGGATGTCATAATAACTACTGAAATTCAACTAGATTAACCTCTAAGATCAAATTATTTTGATGATGCTACTGCAGACGAAAATACAATTGCGAAAGCATGCAATTGTAAACGGGACTGTGGGACAAAAAGTTGGCCATGTCGAGTTAAAGACGTGAAATATTATACAAAATGCCACACCAAACAAAAGTGTGTACATTTTCCAACTGCGATGTAAACAGAATCGGAATGCAATTATCGTTGCTTATCTGTTATTTGTTTATAGGCGATGGAAAAATCAATCGACGAATTATTAAACAAGTTTTCAAAGCAACAGTTGTTAAGCGGTCTTCAAACGTTAAGAAGTAAGCACATTTTGATCAACAGTAAGAGGGATAGAAAACGTTTGCGAGGTCTGGTTCCGTTCGCATCTTGCACTTAGTAGCTTCTGTCATGAAGAATCATTTTCTAATAGACAAATAAACATAATGATCTTTAGAACAGACGTTAATTAATACTTTTTTTAACTCAAGCACAATTTCTACCAATGATAGCATCAGCACGTAAGACTAATAGTTCGACTGATATTGGCAGTCAACAGAAATTATCTTCTCTATCTGCTGGAAACGGTAAGAATTATGAGCCAGATAAGTATAGTTTACGATACTTAAAAATAAATTTTAGATCAATACAATCAACAAATCTCAAATGATATTCATTCTGAAATCAAAGAAAAGGTGCAACAATATGAACATAATCGTTGTTCTATAACGAATGGACTGGTTTCATCAAGTTCAGCAACGATAATCAATGGCGATAACAACAACAATGTTTCAGCAAATGGTAATCAAATAACATTTATCTTTGTTATTTCAAAATCTGATGTTTTTGTCCCCTCTCTAACCGTACTTTTCACAGAATCGTTGTTTTTAAATCTTCTATAATAGGAGGAATGTAAATTTAAAATCGAGATTTTTCGTTCTCTCCGCTCTTCCCTCCTCCCGTTCCAGACGCAGAAATCAATAGAACATGCCAGTATTGAATGTTTATGTGTTGCTGGATAAAAGCGGTGAAGATCATCCGAGTTTCACCATGTAGATCACCAGTCTATATAATGACCAGTTCTTTTACATTTTTAGAGCCACAGTCACAACCTATGCAATCAAACGCTTGTATTCATGGTCGTCGCCGCCGCCGCCATCCGTTTCGAGTTTCGTTCAATTTTAAACATTCATCAAATCGTTATCGTGTTAGTCTGTCATCTGTGCATCGTTATGGTAAATAATTCATTTGTTTTTCTCAGTGTTAAGATTTGTTGCTGATTTTGTACACTTTCAATCTGAATCTCCAAATTCTTTTTTTTTCAATTTGTTTCGTCAAATAAATGCTGTTTTAAAAAGAGATTTATCCACGCTAATTGTTGTACAGTGTAGAAAAAAGCGGTCAGTATCGTCACTATGACAAAAAATTTAATTTATGCAATTGGTTTTTATTATTTTATGGGATGTTGTTTAAAAATATCTGTTTTTCAAAATGGAAAGAGTTTTTCGATTTTTGTGAAACAGTAAATTTACAATAAAAAATAAATCGCGAACAAACAAGAATCAGTAGCGCTGATCAAATGTAAACGATCCTTAACCTAAACTGTTTTCCATCGTTAACACAAAAGGATTTATAGTTATAAAGTCACAGGCTGAAATTTCTACGATTACACTTAACATTACTTCTAGTGAGAAAAAAGCATGGTAGCCGTTAAAGCTTGGCAGACAATGAATAGATGCGAGAAAGAAAACATAATAAAGATTTTGGACAATAGAAATAGAGCATATAACATTTAAGAACTTAACAAAATTTCTCTTATCAAGTAGTAGTAGTTTTTTTAAGCAGCTGTAAGGTATGTGTCAACGTTATCAGTAGTTTCCGAGCTTTGAAAACTACATTCTAGAAGCTCAATATATGCTTTAGCTTGATCAAAGATAAATAACCGAATACACGACAAAGAATACTGAAACGTCCAACATACAATGTCACTCGCCGAAGAATATACGTTTTCTCACTCAATTTATAACCACCGCAGCCTATCGTAGTTTCAAATCGTTCGATGTTTATTGTGATTGTCGCAATAGAATCGATTGTTCCCTTGCCTTACAATTGATTGTCATTGTTCTCTGTTCATTGTTAGCGAAGAAATATCAACCAAATTATATTAGAAAGAACATAGGCGTACAAACAGTGAAATGTTCACAATTAAGCATTTATTAGATAATCAATATTTGGCATCAATTCAGAATATGATAAGGTGCTCCTAATTCAAAGTTTCCACGGGATTTTATTTTTCCAGGAAACACGTATTCTGATTCGCGCGGATGCGGTGATCATGAATATTACCTTTTTAGTTTATTAAAGCGTATCTTCATGGGGAAAAACTCGAAAAACTCAGCATATGTCAAAAATAGAAAAAACATTACATGGCGAAAATCGGTTCTAGTTTTTTCCCGTTTTGTCCTATAGCTCTGACAGTTTCTTTTTCTGAATCTTTGAGGGAATTGCATAAAAGTTGAAGTTCTGATGAAGAAAAGGACGGGAATCGGTTTCTGCT